TACGAACCGCTTCCTCCCCTGCTAGATCCTCTCCCTCATACCGTGCTAGCTTTATCAGCAAGGCTCGAGTTGGCAGACCATCTAGTTGTTCTATGGGCTCGTACTTGAGGAGTTTTATCCATAAGGCTAATCTAAACCCATAGTCAGGATCTCTATTTTTGCCATTCTTTCAATAACTAGCCTTCCCATCATTCCCACCTTTTATGGCAGCCACTTTCTTTTTGTGTCCCAGGATGTTATTGCCGCTAGGGTAAGCCTCCCTATATAGATCATACGCTTCTTGAGCTCTGGTTTCCTATTCTTTGAGACGAGTTACTCTGGGATTCGCAGTTCCCATGGCCACTTTAATTGCAGGGAGCAAACTCTGAACAAACATCTCCTGGAATTCGGAGGTATCATACACAACAACTCCATTTACTATCAGAGGCTGATCTGTAAGCCAAGATAGTAATCGTTTCCTGGCAAGGAATTTCTGTGGTCTTTCTGAGATCCTCTGTTTGTCAGTGTACATCTTGCCCCTAAGATTTTCATATGGGTAGTACAGCTTCATAATGGCAAGGTAAATTTATCACAGATTCCTGAACACTAGCCACCTGCACCTCTGTAGGTAGGGCCCCAAACTCATCAGTGCTCATACTTTCTTTTACCAACTCAACTGTGTCTTCAAAACTTAAATTGGCGGTCACACTAAGCTTTGCCAGCCAATCCAATGCATTTTCTTTATAAAAGGGGCCCGTGTGCTTGCTCATAGCTCGCACCTGTTCCGGCCCCAGGGCACGGATTTCATACCTCATTTCCGAGGGTTTGCCATGTCCATAATGAACCACAGTAGTGGTTATTGGAGCAATCAGAGGGTGAATTGAATTCCCCTCCTAGTTCCCCCAAGACTCATGTGGCTCCTCTGGTGCTGAGGGGGAAACAGATTCATTCCTAGTATACTTAGGAGGAGGAGGTAACATTTCTCTTTCTGTGTCACTCCCATCCATGTCAATAGATATACCAGTCTCATACTCTCTTACGGGGTCAGTTTTTACAGCATTTATGACACCCTGCATATGCTGCAACCTTTGCTTCAACATTCTTATCTTTTGATCACATACACTATAATTCACAAAAAGAAAAGGAGTACTTGTGGCACCTTAGAGACTAACCAATTTATTTGAGCATGAGCTTTCGTGAGCTACAGTTCACTTCATCGGATGCATACCGTTCACAGATGTTCCTTGTCTTGCTGTCTTTACCTCTTTCATTAACTCTCTAGTTGCAGCTTGAGAGCCTTCTAATTTTTTTGACAGCATATATATTTCTCCTTTTTCAGGAGGTTACCATTCAACTCCTGCACTTGGGATTATAACTGGTTAAGCTGCATTGTCAAGTTAGCAATCTGGGCTGTTGCAGCCGCCTGCTGGGAGCCAAGCTTTCCTACCTCAGCTTCCTTTTCAGCTGCTACACTTAGAGCTTGAGAAGTGGCTTCTTGTTTCAGTCTCAGTTGCCTATCCAGCTCTTCTGCAGTCATACCCAACCTGAAGAGCAAAGCTCTCTTCTTAGACTTTTTAGTGGGGGAAGGCTTAGACATCATATACCTTTCCCATGTTCTGCACAGTTTAACCATAGCATTCTCCCCACTGAACAGATCATAAGTCCTGGGGTTTTTATTCTTCCCAAATAAAGCAATACAGAAGTCAATGGAATTTTTATTTAATTGCCTTGTCCAGCCCGTCACTCCAACCACGTTCTCTGCCATCCTACCCTGGCAGGTTAACTTTTTCTTCTTTAGTTAGGGACTCAATCAATTGGGGAACGAACACACACACACACACAGACCCACCTCAAGGTATTTTAACAAGGTGTTTCTCCACACACCCTTGGGTGGGGGACAGGATTTACTAATCCCACACCCACAGATTCGTGCACCCCGAGTGAGGGTCCCGCAAGGGAGTCCGTCTTCCCCAGGGGCTCACACCCACAATCTCACACCACTCACACAGGGGGATTGCTATTTTGCAGATCCCACCCAAGGAAACAAATGTTTCCCCTCCTCGGATAGCATCCTACTTCTGAGCCTGCCTAGTCCACCAACCGGTGTCAGAACAATCGCTGTCGCTGCCTCAGAAGCATCCTTGCATCGGATGCAGAAACCTCCTCGCTAACCTTCTACCCAGTCAGGGACGTTTATTCCAACGACCATCTGGCTCATTGTATCCAATGGATCCCGAACAGAGTCTTACCAGATCACCGTACAAATATGAGTGTCTAACAATGATGTTACGATACTTGCGGATGGACCTCCAGACAGAGACAGGCTGCGTGACTGCAACATCGGATCCTGGACTGCCTACTACCTAGATAATGGTCAGCAAGAGGAACACGGAATCTGGATGAACCATGGTTATGGAGCACCGTGTATGGAAATCAGGTAAGCTCTTTTGATGGTACGTTGTCTCTCGAAGCGCGCATCTCATGGGCTGCCGCTCAGAAGGACAGCACTGCTTAAGGTGTGTTCTCCCCTTATATAGTCTCTCTCTCAGCTATACCACGTGACCTAGATCCAGTGGTCTTCTTGCTCTTTTACACCAAATGACATAAAACACCTTACAAAAGAAGACATGAAATTGTATAAAAGATCCTGGGGTCCTGATTCTGTCATCTCAGATCTGCTTACGCTTCATCAGGGGAAGTTTGAGTCGCAAGACTGAGGTCCCAGTTATGCTGGTATGCCCTGAATATGAGATTTGGACATTGGACCTATGAACTATTTCTAAAAGAACTCTTTGCAACTACAAAGCTCACCATCTCTGCTATAAGAAAAGGAGTACTTGTGGCACCTTAGAGACTAACCAATTTATTTGAGCATGAGCTTTCGTGAGCTACAGCTCACTTCATCAGATGTGATGTGATCTCTGCTATGAATCTGCACCTAAACGAATTGAACTCATGTCTGTATGTATATTGATCTTTTAACCGTACTCTCTCTCTTTTGTTTTTTAATAAATTTTAGTTTAGTTAATACGAATTGGTTATAGTGTGCATTTGAGTAAGATCTGAAACATTCATTAACCTGGGAGGTAATCCTTTGGGATTGGTAGAACCTTTTCTTTTATATGATGAAATAAACAGAAATAAATAAATGAAATAAACGTTTACAGAAACGTTCATTATATTTGACTTGAGTACCTGGATGGAGGCCTGAGGCTGGATCACTTTAAGGGAACTGTGTTGTTTGGACTTCTGAGTAACCAGTAAGGTAATAAAGAAGCTGTTTTATGCTGGCTTGGTAAATCTAAGTATTGGAATATCCACCAGCTTTATGGGGATTGTCTGCCCCATTCTTTGCAGTTCACCCTAACTGAGTGACCACAGCTGGCTCCCCACTAGGATCCCGGTCACAGTAACAATTACAACTGGGTGTGTATTGGGAAGACACCCACCAGACAACAGGCCATCAGGAAGGAACAACAAGACTGTGAAGATACTAATCTCTCTCCCTCCTGGGAGGCATCCTGGGATGTAACTGTGACACTACTAGGTCAGGTGGTCTTGTCACCTGATACTAAACATTTTCTTGGACTTCTTGTAACTTTCCACTAAAAGGGGAGAGGTCAAGTTTGGGAAACAAAGGATTCCCGCCTTATGTAAACCTTATTTAAGGGTGGGGAGAAAGGCAAACGGGACTCCTCCTCTCCACAGCCTGTGTGCCCAAGAAGAAAGATCGCTAAAGACACCTGAAGGGAAGGCTAGAGGGGAGTCCAGACTGAGACAGGGGTCCAGTCTGAAAAGAAATATAACTGTAACTCTAAGCTACAGAAATTTTGGAACCTGCCTAAAATAACATTTAGAGTAAGAAATTACATTTTGTAAACTGTTTCTTAAGTATATTGAGCGTAGCTTGCATATTTTGTTTTATTTGCTCAGTAATCTGCTTTGTTTTGTGTGTTCTCTCTTATATTCCTTTAAAATTCACCTTTTGTAGTTAATAACCCTATTTCTTGTTTATAATATAACCCAGTTTGTGCAATTCATAACTGGGGGCAGGAGGTAAGAGGCTGTGCAATCCTTCCTCCACATTGAGGGAGGAGGCGAATTTCATAATATACCTTTGGGTCTGCACTTCAAGGGAGGTGGACACCTGAGTGCTTGGGCAAGTCCCTTAAGCGGAGTCTTCCCAGAGCTGATCTCAGTGTCTGTGTCATTCTGCAGATGGGTGTGTGCTGGAGGAGGTTTAATAGCCTGGCTCAGCAAGACAGGTAAAAAGGGTGCCCAGGGAGGCTGAGTGGTATCTCAGCATGTCAGGTGGCATCCTCAGGTGGGCAACGCATTACAATCTCCTGTAACTGTTGCATTGTATAATTTATTATACAGTTGAGAAGTCCCAGAATCAAGTGACTGGTTTGTTTATACTACCGTGGTCATTACAATGTTTATGTAACATGTCGTTTTTGTGTATTTAATGGTAGGCAACAGATGTACTTAAGGTTGGCATTTTATAATTAAGTGCTTTTATGTGAGGTTAAACATTTATGTAGTTTTGAGAATCAGAGGATTGATATTTTAAGTTTAGTTTATGCCCAGAGTTGAACTTTACCTGGAGAACATACCATAATTACTAATCACTTTGGAGACCACTCCTTTGTTTAGGCAGAATTTGCCTAAGCCCTGTAAAATAGGCTGTTAGCTTTGCAGTAGTACTAAACGAGTGAGCTGTTTTCCCAGAGCTCCTCCAACACACTTGGGCCAATTTTATTCCACTGTTGGTACAATGCCAGTTTACATCAGACAGTTTTCTCTCCCTTGAGATTAGAGAGTGGGTTTTTTTGGCACAATGAGGAATTTCATAATATGGCCTGTCCTTATTGTATACTTTCAATGATGAAACAAATCAACATACAAGCAGAAGACAAAATTAAAGACGAGCTCTCAAGTTTTTGAGTGGGCATGATTAGCAATTGAGATAAACAGAAATATCCTGTACCTTTTTATAATTTTATTTTATTTTTTTACAGAAGCTGAACTGAGTCACTTCTCCCACCATGAGCCAGTTCCTGGCACTTCTGCTGAGAAGCTTCTATTTGACTTGTAGAAATATTGTTATCAAAACCAGAACAGTTAAACTGATGGTTGTTTTGACATAAGAACAGCCATATTGGGTTGCACCAAAGGTCCATATAGCTCTGTATTCTGTCTTCCAACAGTGGCCAATACCAGGTGCCCCAGAGGGAATGAACAGAACAGGTAATTATCAATCTTAAATTTGCACTTTAGGGGCACACCAATAACTACCGCTTCCAAGGAAGACCAATTTCCACGTGATGGATATGACACTAGCAGTTTTGAATTGTAAAAGTGAGGAAAAGTTTTCCTTTTGATGACATGTTGACATGCTGTGATACCAGTCAGCTCTGTGTTTTTGGAGAACCAGAGCCCAGTATCTAGCCTGTCTGACTCATGACAGACACCCCCCACTACCAGTCTCTGCTTGAACCAAAACCAATCAGAGAAAAGGCTTGCAGAGAGCAGTGAAGGGCATTGGGAGGCACACCTAGATCCCCCCTGACAAGGGTGACAAGATTAAGACATCTCCATTAGTATACAGAATGAAGAACAGAGACAACTCCCCTAGCCTCATCTGCATGAAAGATGGGACATGGATTAGTATAAAGAATGAAGAACAGAGAACCGCACTGAACTGTGGGACCAGAAAAGCAGAGAAGCACTGCATCATGGGAATTTCTGTTCCAGATATTAATGAACCTACACCTGCACACACCCAGCTCAGCAATTATCAGACCAATTCTAGTAATGAATCCTTCATTGATATCCAAAATACTGAAGCAGCCTAGTTGCATTGTGAGCTCCCTGGAAGAAAACATCACCCATAGCCAAGAGTGATCAGCTCCTATTGTCTAGCCTAAACAAAACCCTTGAGTCATCAGTTTACCTATAAACAAATCTAGTATTCTCCCTTGAGCCATTGTATTTTCTCTACAAAAATCCCTACTCACCCTCCAGTCAGTGTTCTGATGCATGGATCCAAACTCTGCAACAGTTCCACTGGGACTCCATCTCCTGACTGATCGTGCTGGGGGCTCTGTCTGTCTCCAGCACTCAGGACCCTGAGCTACCACCATCACCTGGGAACCCCGACGAGTTCAAGCCTCATGGAGTGGGTGAGATCCCTCTCTCTCTCTTCTTTTCTACTTCAGGTATTAGCCTTTAAAAATGTAACTGTTAGGTTTGTTTAGCCCTCCTTGTGTAGTTATCACTATTATTCAATAAATAACTTTTATGGTTAAGCTGGTTGCTTCTCTCTCTCTCTCTCTCTGAACTTTACTCTTTTGTGTTTTTAGCTTCCCGCAGTTACTCTGCAGCAACCCTTCTGTTACCTAAGCTAAAAGATCCCTGTAGCGCCCAATAATACTGTGGGGTTTGCTCATACCAGTACAATTGTGACATGAAAGTGGGGACAGGGATGTGTTAAACCTGTGGCACATAAGGGGGGGTGCTGCTTGACCCAGCCCATTGTGTACAGGGGCATATAAGGGGATCAGCTTGAGAGTGCTGATTGACGCGGTCCGCTCAGACTTGCTCTGTTAGTCTGTGTGTGTGTGTTCATCTGGTTCTAGGACTGGAGAAACCCAGTCCTGGGGAACCTAGGTCCTGCAGGATAGCTCCATTGGGAGGGGACTTGCAGAAGGAAGGAGTAGAGTTCCATATGAACACACAAGTGACATACGCAGTACATTAATAGAATTACAGAAACCCCCACCCCTCAACCCCCAGACGAGTAACCCTAATCAATGAGCATACCCCAAAGTAACGGGCATATCTGGTAACAGTTGTGATCCACTTACGTCCAGAATATATACCTTTACATTGGCATATGTACCTTTGTATATTGTTGATCCTAACACTATCTTTCGATTATTTCCAACCTTTGTGTTTGACTCTTCACTCCGGCAACATGTTCCACAGGTGGACTTTTTTTATGTTTCCGGTTTTACATATTCAGAATTTACCAGCTACTCATTAGATCTTTTGTTCTCATAATATGGGACACTAAGAGGGCCTTAATGCTATGCACAATTCCCTTCATAAATGGACAGTTAAGTCAAACTTAGTTTAAGCTTTGTTTTTATCAAGTCCTGCGCTTACAAAATCCAAGACGAACAGCAGTATTTTAATCCTTTAGGTCCAATAATAGTTACAGCTTTTCTTGTGAAGTGTCGGTAAGTGCACAATATACTACCACATGAAGAAAACTAGTTTGGCTGTTGTCATTGTCCAGATGAATGAATTGCAGAAAGCATCCAATCAGCATAAGTGATGAGAAGTTAGTTTCAGATTTAAATATCCAGTCCAGGAGCAGATTTACCATGAAACAAACTGTGGGGTACCATGGGGCCCCCCAATGACAGGGGGCCCCCAAATGGAGGATAAATATCTGACAACCTGCCCCCAAGTCCTGGCTGGCGGTGCAGCAGAGCTCAGGCAGGCAGGCTGCCTGCATGCCATGGCCGGTGGCTCCACACCGCTCTGGAAGTGGCTGGCTGCTGGCACGTCTCTGCATGCCCCTGGTGGGGTGGGGGAGGTGGTTCCACATGCTGCCCCTGCCCCAGGCAGCGCAAGGAGAGCCGCTGCCTCCCTCTCCCCAAGAGGTGTGCAGAGACGTGCCAGCAGCAGGGCTAAGGCGCTCCCGGAGCCTATGAGCCGCTGCCGGAGGGGTGTGTGTGCCTGTCGCCTTGGGAGCCGCACTGCCCGAGGTAAGCGCCTCTCCACTGCCCCCATTCCACACCCCAAACCCCTGCCCCAGCTCATAGCCCGCACCCAAATTTCCTCCCAGAGCTGGAACCCCTCACCCACTCCCCGAGAGAGTCCAAGCAGTCCAGAGATGACAGATCTTTCCTTGAAACCATGCTTCTAGGTTCTACTCCCAGAAAACAAGCAGACATTGTTACTACCCACGTGGACTTTTCATTTGATGACAGAGACTGAGGAATGCATTTTGAGTCTTTGACCTCCGATCATCACACTCAATGACCACTTGCTTTGAAATTAGCACTTTTCTGTGAAGTTCTCCATTTGCATTCCACAAGGCTTCTTCCTCATTTGATGGGTTATTTAGTTACAGGGGTATATACAATGTAAAATGTTTGCTACTACATTATAACAGGAGGGGGAGCGATAGCTCAGTAGTTTGAGCATTAGCCTGCTAAACCCAGGGGTGTGAGTTCAATCCCTGAGGGGCCATTTAGGGATCAGGGCAAAAATTGGGGATTGGTCTTGCTTGGAGCAGGGTGTTGGACTAGATGACCTCCTAAGGTCCCTTCCAACCGTGAGATTCTATGACAAAGATAAGTGAAAACAATGCAAGTAACTTTTCATGAAGTTTAAACACCACATAGACTCTTATACACAGGCGCTGACTTTTGTTTTTGCTGGTGGGTGCTTTCCACCTGCCAGTTGCACTGTGCACCATGTACATGCTCTTGCCACCTACTGGTGGTTTGTGAGGTCTGAGCACCTCCTATTTTTTCGGTGGGTGCTTGAGTCCTGGGTCGAGCACCCCCGGCATTTTGGAAAGTCGGCGCATCTGTCCCAACCAGTGTCCTGGACTTAGAACTGTGCAGGCGAACACTCTTGTTCTGGGGCACTGGGCTCCATTCCACCTCCCCCGATCAAGTGAGTCCCAGGAGGAGTTCAGCCTTGGAAGAGCCTCTTTGCTCCTGCTGACTTGAGAATCAGCTGCAGCAGTGTCCTCCAGACACTGAAGATCGTATTCAACTTCTAGCAACAGTGTTTACTCTAGGCATCTCTCGTGCACTGACTGGCTTTTGATTCCAATTGCCTCTCCCTCCAGGTCTTTTCACCCCACCCCACACCTTTTCAGTGCTCTCCATTTCCCCTCCTTTCTCCATCACCCCTCCCCAGACACACACCGTAGCCTTTCTTCTTTTTTTCCAAGTGTAATCACTTCCTAAATTGTTAAAGATAAATGAAGCAGCATGTTTGCAGACCACATTGTTCACTCAGTTTGTATATTATATGCCCTTTCTCTATGCACTTTTCTATGTTGAAATTAAGTTCTGCAGGATGGGGGCAGGCTTACTCTGCTGTGAGAAGCATAATGGGACCCTCTTCTTGATTAGAAACTTTAGGTGTCACTGCAGTTGAAGTAGTAAAAAGGAACCAATCCTGACCACCACTACAAAATGCTTAGCACCCTTTAACTCCTGGTGAAGTCAGTTGGTGTTGAAGGCATTAAATGGTGTGCAGGGCTAGTGGCTCAGAACACTTAATACTTACTATCCTGGGCCCAACACATCTACTACGACAGTGCATATAACACAAGCGGGGTCAATGTAATTTTCCTCACCCCAGCCCAAGTGTCTCAATCCTCCTCTTTATGGGGAATCCTCTAGGTATGAGAGGGTAGTTAAGGCTTCCTGCCCATTCAGTCTTTTGCCTCTTTGCCAGTATTGCACACAAAGGTGAAAAGTAATGACATCCGAGGATTGTGTTGGATTTTGGCATGTACTATTGATAAGGAGAACCACCAAATCATTTAGTCCTTGAACATCAGTTTTCATGTACTTCTAATCTGAATCACTGACTCTCAAACACCCCCACTTTAGCTGTCAGCATATTTTATTTGCTGCACTGCAATCTGTAAGTATAAAAAGTTTAAAGGGAAAAACTAAAATCTTATCTTTACTTTGTTTCATTTGGAGGTATAGACTTAAAATGCTATTGAAAAAATGAATCTTTATAAACTTTTATGAACCGTTAGTTCAATGTATATTTTTCTGTACCAAAGCCTTTCTGCTATTTGTGTTAAGTTCTTCACTGCTTAGCTCACAGGTAATCTATCATGTAGAGTAGTGAGCAGACTATTATCAGAAATTTTCCATGTTGGTCTGCTTGTTCGGCACAAGAACTTAAATCCAAAGCAGCGCAACTTAAGTGATTGAAGTGTTGTCTTTGTTATGTCAAGTTATACTTTGGGACCTGGAATATTTGATATTTTTATTACTTTTTTGGTAAAAAGTATCAGAAACAAACCACATGTTGCTAACCTTTCACAACATCTAAGCCAACCCTTCTTGAAACTTCCTTTACAGTGAGAAACATGTCAAGGTATCACTGATTTTTACTAACTTTGACTTCAGGGTGTGTTCTCTCCCCGCCATCTGAATAGCAAAAACTTACTGTCTGTTTATTATGTTATCAGAACCAGACCAAGAGAACAAGCGGGTTGCGATAAAGCTGCCCTTGGCTCCATAATTTAATTTGGGTCATTTGCTAGAAGGTAGTTCCTTTTTAAGTAAACAGAAAATTATGTTTACAAATCAACCACACTCAGAGTAGAAGGTTGTATAATGGAGTCAAGTAATTCTTGCTCTTGTTTGATACATTGCTAGAAGTGTGGTGATTTGGATTAAGTGTTTGGGAGAGTTGTCTGATGCCAACTTTCTTTAAAAAAAAAAGAAAGGGGGAAAAATAAAAAGGTTTAACTGGGTTTAACCAGAAGGTTAAGAGGTTCAGAACTGCATTTTGAAAGAGTGGATTCAGACTAAGTTTATTTCTAGCGATAATAGCTCCTCAGGATGCATTCAAGTTTGTTCCAGCTTTTATTTTGCCTAGAACTCATTAGCCTCCCATTGCTGTCCTGGGATAACTAGAATTTTCAAAGTCATGGCACACATGAGACGTTACCACCATATTTGTCATCTTTTTTTATGTCTTGAGAGCAGAGCATATATAACACACTCCCTTTCTTCCTCATCTCCTAACACTATTTCTTAATCCAATTTCTATTGAGAATCTAGATTTCAGGAGGGGACAGCCATTTCTGAAGACAAGAGTTCTGACTATACAATACCCACTGTCCATCCTGGAGAAAATACGTTTCCTATTGGCACCATGTGAGAGACAGTTTTCTGAAGGGAGATTTCAGTTTTGCTTTTAAGAGATCTGGCCTATCATTAATTTACAAATTTGGTCCTGTAGTTAGAGATTTTTGAGCATTTTATCAAGAAAACACAGTTTATGAGCAACACCTTAAGTGCATTTGTTCTTGAAAAGAGGATAAAGCACTTTAAAATCTCTACATTTTGTTTTTTAATGTTAAAAACTAGATTCTGTCTAATTACAGCAAGAATAAGCTTTTTATCTCTAGCATGTGTTAGAATCTTGATTTTTGAACCCTAGCTGCATCCATGTCTTGACAAAAAGCAACC